TGTATGTATGTATGATTGTCTGTGTATATTGATATATATATATATATACATAAGTGACCTGAACTATATATGTGTCTTTAAATATATTGATTGAGGGTGTGTGTGTAAATTAAATGTATATATATATATATATATATTTGTGTATATATTTATATTTATATTATATCCACCCATTTCTATGGCAAAAGTATACTTCGTCTTTTCTTGCACTACGCTTGATCAGTTGAAGAGTAGGCGCCTCCCACTCGGCGCGGCACTCCGCAATGTATTTGTTTGGCGGATGTCTGGCCCTCTGCTTGAGATGCTTCAACCTGTGGCGTTCAAGTCCAGGATTCATGGGGCTCCCATCGCGGCGTGGAACTTCCCCATACTGATCCTGAATCAAGATGAATGGGATTTGTTTATAATAGTAATGGAATTGCGTGGATGAAGATTACTGTCTTATCAATTGGATATATCCCAATTAATATTCCCATTAATCATCCCATGGTATGCAACTATTCCCACTACTGGTATAATTATACAATTTGAGGCCCCCAAGATATAAGTTGGTTTAGATTCGCCCCAGTAACTAGTTCGTTATAAATACCATAAACCATAGTTATTGGAGTTATAAACCAACTTAGCTATCTTGGGGGCCTCACATTGTATATATAATATGGTTCTTCACCAGTTGCCAATCGAGATGATCCTGGCACCGGCACCTGTTTTTATATCCCATTTTGAAGTGATAAATCATGAGCATGCTTGCCCGGTCGAGTCTGACCGACATTTTTTTGAAATAACCCTAATAAGCCTATCTTCGATGTTGAAGGCTTAAGATTGCTGAAATGGGCACCTTAAACACATGGGATTCATGCAATGTTGGTCGCAGCTCCCAAGCTGACAGGTCACCAGCAAGTTCGGACTTTGTCACCGATGGGGTGATCACTGCGAACAAATCACTACACTCAGCGTGTGATTGGAGAAATATACGAGAATATCATACAATATCTGCATATTTACATGATCTCCATGTACTTTACTCATTGATAGCGTAACTCGCCAAAAGAGCGGCTCCGTGGGTCCATTTCACGGGAGGCATGATTTCACGAGGATTCAAGCCCGGCATCCAGAACCACTTTTGGAAGGCTGAATCGGTGAGCCGCGTCTTTTTTGGGGGGTCATGATCTTTCGAGGATATTTTGAGACACGTCACTCAGAGTTGTGGGAGTTTTTACATTTTTTACCACCATTTTTTTAGTGACCAGAAGGAAAAATCATGTGAACGTCACCCGAGTTGATCGAAAGGACAACAAATTCTGTGGAGATGATGGATTTCGTCCAGTTGTTTCTCTGGAAATCCCCCGATTTTTGGAGACCGGAGATCCGGTGGAATCCGGAACATAAAATGCTGATGAATTCATCGCCAGGAATTTGCAGGTCTCCGTAATTTTTAAGCTTGGTGAAATCCGAAAATTTCCGCTGGTGAATTGCCAATGTTGTTGAAAACAACATAGTCTCTGGTGGTTTCAACCTACCCCTCTGAAAAATGTGAGTTCGTCAGTTGGGATTATTATTCCCAATAATCCCAATATATGGATATATATATATATATATGCATTATTCCTATGGTTTTTCTATGGTTTTCCTATGGAACCAATAATCCAAATGTTCCATTCATGTTCCAAACCACCAAGCAGTTCTTGTTGCTTAAAACCCCAAGTTCTGATGCTCTGGCTGCTTTCGGTCCCAAAAATACGCTCCTCATCTTGGATCATCTTTGAAAAAACCAAGCAGTGATGAAACTGTTTCCCCTCTGGTAATGTGACCATGGAAAACAGCCATTGAAATAATACGGTACATCATCGAACTATCCATGGATCTAAATGGGCCATCGCTAGCAGTGTTTATTACAACACGGTAAACAATGAGCCATAGAGATGGGCCATCTATTGCCATTATAAATGGATCTAAATGGGCCAGCTATAGATAGTGGGCCATCTATAACAGAATGTTTCAATTGTGTGTTTGTTTCTCCGCATCTTTGTCCCAGCAACGCATTGTACACCGACATCTCTGCCGCCATCATCGGAATCCTTGGTCTGACAAGGTCGTTGCAGTGCTTTCGGCTGTCAATGGGGATCTTTAGGGTTTAAGGTCACTTTAGGTGTTCAGGAATCGTTCGGGATATGTCTTTTTGATTTGGCTAAATCTGAAAAATCAGGTGTCTCTTCTCTTGAAACCATATATATATATATCATATGGCAGGAACATAAGCATGTATCCTGTAGCCACCTTGAGCCCCATCCCTCTTTCCATCTCCTCCAAAACCCCTACCTCCCAAAACATGCATGGCTTTAGAAACCAGGCGTCAGGTTGAAGGATGAGAACGTAGGCAGCATGTGAGTGGCGCTGGGAACGTAGGCGGGTTTCTCCGGACTGCTTTTCAGCTTCGGCAGGATGGGCCGGATCACCTCAAAGTCCTCAAGCTGGGATGCGATGCGGGGAATAGAGATGCCAGATATTCATGTATGGATTGGTTTACCATGATTTATCTATCTTACGTGTATGTGCATGAATGTGAGTATACAAATACTTATATATATATATTATATATATATATACATACATACATATGCATCTCTATTTGTATACAGAGATATTTAGATGTTATAGCCATAGCCACAATATGCCATAATGTATGAGTATGTTCACAGTATGTCCTAGCTCTGCTGTCTACAGGTGTGTTCTCTGATCTTGTTTACCAGTCGGTGGAACTCAAAATATGCCGGGCAAGCACACCCCTCCAGCCCCTCCGGCCCCTCCAGCCCCTCGAGACAAGGTCTGCATCCTATAATTAGGCGCTGTTCTCACAGTGCTGCTCTCAACAGCCCCAGTAGAAGAGGAAAAACTGTGAAAATAAAGAAGAAAAATGACAATGGCTATGAGTCACGCAGTAGGTTGGAGCAACCCTGTCTAATGTGCTTTTTTAAAATTTCAAATCCAAGCCACAATTGACACCACCCCCCTGCAAACCCCACACCATGCTGGATGTCACTCAATTTTCTACACCCGAAAGGTGTTCGCTCGTGAAGCTAACACCACATAATCACTAAAAACTCTAACAGTTTGCTATGGAAATCACCATCTTCAATAGGTAGTTCATCGAACTAAATGGGCCATCTATATCATAGATATATTAGTTTACTGGCGGGTAATCACAAAAACTACAACCCCCAAAAAAATAGACAAGGAATTTCCCACTGTCTTCGAATCGGATATTACATTGGTATAACCAACTTCTATCTTAACTGGTTGGTGCAATAACCATCTTGAAAAATATGAGTTCGTCAACGGGAAGGATGACATCCCATATATGACATGGAAAAAAAATGCTTGAAACCACCAACCAGTTAAAGTTGGGCTCTTTTCGACCCAAACATGGACCGTTTTGACCTATTCCATCACCTTCCCTAACATTTGCTTCCGAGGCACTGAAGGATAGTCCACGAACCATCGAAGCGCACGGGCCTGGGGCATAGGATCACGGCTCCGTGGGATGAAAAACATAGGATCACCATCAACAAATCATTACCATCCGTTGTGAAAAGATGCGAAATCTCTGGGAGATCGTCGCCAGATGGCGCCAGAACATGGGCATCCAACGCTATTTTTTTAGCAGCAAAACAAAGAGATGTTGACACTTTCTTTGACACTTGGTGGTGAAAACCCTGGTAGCCTAGGTACCCTACATTAGCTGATGAATGGATGTTTATTCCTCCAAATATGGTATATACTGTAATTGGTTTTGACCCATCCACACTCGCTTGAAACCACCGGTTTCAAACGCGCAAAAGTCACCAAACTCACCCTCCTCAAAACTCGACCCAAAGATTGGTCTGGTTGGGGTCATTGATCGGAAATTCGCCAAAACAAAAATGGCTTCTCATCTTCATTTTCCATATTTTTCCATCATAAAATCCTGGAGCATTCAAAATCCCAATTGGTTAACCATTGCTTACCCTCTGGTAATTTAACGTAGCTATTGAAAATGGCCCATAGAAATAGTTGATTTACCTATTAAAAATTGTGATTTTCCATAGCAAACTGTTAGTTTACCATTGCTTAACCAGTGGTTCACCATTGGTTGTAGCCATTGGTTGCCTTGGCTTCCCCAAAATCTCCAAAAATCTCCATCGCATCGTCGCCCAGGAACCAGCTGAGCGAAAGGAGGCCCGGACGCGAAGCTGCCGAAGTTCTGGGCTTCCACAAACATCCCTGTGGCTCCGAGCTGGGGTAGCTTGATCCGCTAGACATTCAGACAGTTTGCGAACTGGAAAACCACCATGCTTTTTTTTAAGGGTAAATCAACTATTTCGACTGGGCCATGTTCAATAGCTATGTTAGTCATTACCAGAGGGTAAATGTTACAAGACTAACCAGGTGTTCAAGTGCGGGAAAGAACATCTTCACTCATTTCCTTGTAGTCTGGACTATGGAGTGTGAGCAAGCCAAGCGGAAAATACAAGACAAGGACTCCAAGGATACCATCTTCAAAAGGATTGAAATGTCAGCCCCTTGCAACATCTTGGTTTGATTTAACAGTATACATTCACCGCAACAAAATGGGGCTAAGTCTGCCAACAAATAGCCCTTTCATGGGTCGAATCCACATCGCTGTGATCCCTTTCCCGTTGTGGAGCTGTTCATTTGGGGTTTCACAGCTGGATTGTTCCTATTCATTTGGCTATGGATCAAAGTTGGGTGAATTGTAGCACCAAGAAAACAGAAAAGTAAAATCCAAGTATGTAAATTAGTGATACATGACATGTCACATCTATTTAGGGCAGTACCATTTCCATCCCTTCAAAATAAAAAGCCCGCTAGAAACCATGCTTTGGTAGGGGATGAAATCACATATCTGGAACCCTACAATGGAGCTGTTTAATACTAGGGGAATGGGATTAGTAGCTTCCGGCACCCATCTACTTCTGGCTCCCATGAAGTGTCAATATCCATGGGGCGAAAAAAACAGAAGATACCCTCTGGTAAACGTTTACATAACTATGGAAAATCACCATTTTGTATGGGTAAATCCACTATTTCTATGGCCATTTTCAATAGCTATGTGAATGTTTACCAGAAGATACTCAGCCCGTCCGCCCAAAAAAGCTCCCGTCGGCCCTTGGTCCGCCCAGTCGCCGTTACAGCACACAGCCCGCAGGGGATCACCGTTCACCCAAAGGCCGACCAGCTCCTGAAATCTAGCCACGTTTAAAAAAAAAGACATTGCATGGTCCCAATGATGTGGAAATTCCCTACATCCACCATAGTTTCTAGTGGGTGTTGAAGTGTTGAATATTGTTGAATATTATTGATGATTATTGATGGTTATAGCATCTTTGGGACAAATCTATACTGACCTCAACAAGAAACCTCCGCGTTTTGCCACGGCCAGAAGCAACGAGGCGTGGAAAACGCAGTTACTTGGGACATAAGCCGCTTACCAACCAGCTCGATCCAATGATCAAATATAGAGGTCCTCATATTATGATTGGTGGAATATTGGTGGTATTTCACTGCATCATCATTGGAGAGATCATGATCTTTTTCAACCCAAATGATTGGTGACTGTCTACTCAGAGCATTGGGTACTAAATAAAAAATAACCCAGGGCAATGTCCCGATAAGTCCTGTGTTGATCTGGTTGAATTCCGCATCCACAACCAAATCCATGACTATCCAAATCCATCGATCACAATAAGAAGTTGCATGGTGTGTCAAACCCAATCAGGAAAAAGGATATGAAATAAAATATAAAGTGGTTTTGACTAATTATCATTAGTTATCATAACCCAATGATAATAACTTGCTTCTGTAAATCATGTATGGTAATTCATGGTAAATACCAATGCTTGGGACATATAGAACCCAACTTACCATGATAAATCCAATAATTATATAAGTTGGTTTATCATTGGGTTTACCATGGATTCTCCATCTCCATCCGCCTTTGTTTTTTTTGCCAGAAGTGCTAGATGTCTTGAGTCTAGATGGATATGATGTTGGATACCCTCTGGTAAACGTTTACATAACCATGGAAAATCACAATTTTTAATGGGAAAACTCACTATTTCTATGGCCATGTTCAATAGCTATGTGAATGTTTACCAGAGGATAACTAGGATGTTCATGAAGGATATATCTATAGCTAGATGATGGATGAGATTATCGACCAAGTTGTAACTGGTGGGTCAATTCCTGCAACACTAGTGAATGATGAAGAAACCAAAAGACTTGGGGCAGCCACAACAGTTGCACAACAATGAACAATGTGGGGAAATTTGTTTCAAAATGGAGATGCACCAGGAACTAGAATGGAAACCTCAACTCACTGCGGCGCTCCTTCAGGCCAAGCATTTTGTCAATCTGCGGATCTGGGATCACACCCACCTCGCAACACCCAGGGTAACACCCCAAAAAACGCCGTCCAGGCATACAAGGTGAGCAAGGTTGACTAGGGTTTATGAGGAATGCAACTACCAGGGGGCCTCACCTTGTAGCCTCTGGACATGGGAAAAATCAACTACCGAGACCCAGGATTTGTGGTGGAGATCCCTTCCGGTGCAGTAGCTGCAGCTCTCAGGTCCTAACCGCCTTCAAGATCACTTGGCACTTGATCTTCTTGCCCTTCTTGGTCTGTGCACCTCAGTTGTTGATGTTTTTGGCTCATGGTGTGGTGGCCCAGTTTCAAATCGCCTTTCGGCAGTTTCTTGTTCAGTTTCAGGCTTCGTTTGAAACGTGCAACGTCCATGTCGCAATGGTCCTTTCACATTGATCTGGACAATCTACAACAAATATCAAGAAATCACCAATCCGCAATCTTCGTCCTTTTTTTCAGCACCCTTAAAAGGAGTCTTTAAGAAAGTGGTCCCTTTCAGAAAGCCCAACACGTCAAAACGCCGAGCATCAGCCGTTGGTCAAGCGCTTAATTTCATCGACCATCACTTCCATCAGGCCATAGTATCCCGCCAAGAAATAGACATCGGTGACCTCTGGTCAGTGGCAGTGCGATGTTTCAGGGCTTTTTTGGAAGCTAAAACTGCCTTGGAATGGTCTTTTTCTAAAATGAGTGGCATCCTACATGCATGTCTTCTCTAAAATCGATTTCATGAGGCGAATACAGCTCAATATAAATAAGATAGCTTGACATCGAAATGATATCCATGTTCAAGAGTACAGTACATACATAAAATCATATTCCAAACGCTGCAGAATGGAGGTGCGTTTTTGGATCAGCGCCATCATCCCAGTTGGACCGGACTTGAAAGTCACCCCTAGTTGGGGATGGTGCCCATGGCCGGTTTACCTATCAAAAAATCGATCCAATGTTGGTACCGACTCCGGTACCAATTTCCTCTATGTTCGGGTCTTCTTGGAGGGAGGTTGGCTGCGCCAATGAATATCTCCAAGCGGCCCCGAAGGCAGTTTTCTGGGAGATATGAGCGAAAGTTCGCTTCCTGAAATGGTTTAAGCCGAAGCCCACAGGCGACAAAGACATATCATGAGCTTCAAAAATGGGGAGAAATTGGGTTTGAACCAACAAAGATGGGATAATCTATCCAAACAATCAACTCACAAATATGGGATTTACTGTAACCAATGGATCATGATGACAATCGATATTTGGTGTGTCCAAACATAGAGGAGCCCCAATTTGCGGCAATGTTCATACGGAAAATGATGAAAAAACATGTTGAAGTAATCTATGACGGTACTTCACTCAACATTTCCAATCGAAAATCGATGTGGAAAAATACTTTCCAAGGGTGCAAGCGGCCTTTTGGTTTCAAGGGAGACTGAAGACATTCCGAACTGAAGGGTCAAGTTTGATATTGTCCGTGGCTCGCGTAAAATACCAAAGGTTTAGAAGAATTGGTGTTTCTCACATGATTTTACTATACCTACGTATGTAGAATCATATGTTTTGTATGTTTTGTATAATTTGTTTGCTTGTTTGTTTGTTGGTTGGTTGGTTTGTTTGTATGTATGTATGTATGTATGTATGTATGTATGTATGTATGTATGTATGTATGTATGTATGTATGTATGTATGTATGTATGTATGTATGTATGTATGTATGTATGTATGTATGTGTGTATGTGTCTATGTGTATGTGTATGTGTATATATATATATATGTATATGTATACATACATACATACGTACGCACGCACGTACGCACGCACGCACAGACATACGTACATACATACATACATACATAAATAAATACATACATACATACGTTACCATTACATGACCATTACATTACCATTACATTACCATTACATTACCATTACATTACCATTACATGACCATTACATGACCATTACATGACCATTACATGACCATTACATGACCATTACATGACCATTACATGACCATTACATGACCATTACACTACCATTACATGACCATTACATGACCATTACATGACCATTACATGACCATTACATGACCATTACATGACCATTACATGACCATTACATGACCATTACACTACCATTACATGACCATTACATGACCATTACATGACCATTACATGACCATTACATGACCATTACATGACCATTACATGACCATTACATGACCATTACATGACCATTACATGACCATTACATGACCATTACATGACCATTACATGACCATTTCATTACATGACCATTACATTACCAGTACATTACCATTACATTACCATTACATTGCCATTACGTTACCATTACATGACCATTACATTACCATTACATTACCATTACATTACCATTACATTACCATTACATTGCCATTACATTACCATTACATTACCATTACATTACCATTACATTACCATTACATTACCATTACATTACCATCAAATTGCCATTACATTACCATTACCATAACATTACATTACATTACGCATTACCATTACATTACGCATTACCATTACATTACCAATACATTACCATTACATCACCATTACATCACCATTACCATTACATTACCATTACATACCCTTACATACCATTACATACCATTACATACCATTGCATGCCAATACATACCATTACATTACATTACATTACATTACATTACATACCATTACATTACATTACATTACATTGCATACGATACCATACCATACCATACCATTACATTACATCACATCACATCACATCACATTACATACATACATACATTACATAGATTACATACATACATACATACATTACATTACATTACATTACATTACATTACATTACATTACATTACATTACATACCATACATACATACATACATGTATCCGTGTATCAAAGTATCCATGTATCCATGCATTACATACATACATACCATTACATACCATTACATACAATTACATACCATTACATACCATTACATACCCTTACTTACACACCATTGCATACCATTACATACCCTTACATACCATTACATTACATTCCATCACATCATCACATTACATTACATTACATTACATCACATCATATTACATACATACATACATACATTACATGCATTACTTACTTTCATACAATACATTACAATACATTACATTACATTACACTACACTACATTACAGTACACTACATTACATACATACATACATTACTTGCATTACTTACTTTCATACAATACATTACAATACATTACATTACACTACACTACATTACAGTACACTACATTACATACATACATACATTACATTACATTACATGACATTACATTGCATTGAATTACATTACATCACATCACATTACATTACATTACATTGCATTACATTACATACGTTACATACATTACATACCATTGCATACCATTACATACCATTACATACCATTACATACCATTGCATACCATTACCTACCATCACATTCCATTACATGCCATTACATACCATTACATACCATTACATACCCTTACTTACATACCCTTACATACCAATACATACCATTACATTACATTACATTACATTGCATACCATTACATTACATCACATCACATCACATCACATCACATACATACATGTATCCATCTATCCATGTATCCATGCATGCATTGCATGCATACTATACGTTACATACATTACATACCATTACATACCATCACATACCATCACATACCATTACATACCATTACATACCATTACATACCATCACATACCATCACATACCATTACATACCAGTACATACCATTACATACCATTACATACCATTACATACCATTACATTACATTACATTACATCACATCACATCCCATTACATTACATACACACATACACACATAGATATACATATATATCTATACATATATATATATATACATATACATATATACATATATATATATATGTATATACATCTATATATATATACATATATATACTATACATATATATAAGTATGTACATACAGCAGCAGTTCATGATTGACGTTCTTTTTTTGTTGACCGCATTCCCCATTCATGCTTTTCTGTCTCATGATTTTCCAAGTTCATGGCATCCTTCGGGGGTCCCGCATATCACCACTTCAGAGAAGTTTCTCATCAGTCTTCACCTGCGGAAATGGTCACAGAAAAAAATCTGTAGGAAAACGAAGCTTCTCTTTGTTTTCTTTTTTTTTATGGGGTTCTGACTCAAATATCTCAAATTCAAGGCTTGGTTCTGATATTTGGGGATGCGATACAAAAATCACAGATTCGGTATCAGTAAGTGGAAAACTGGCAGAACAAGCAAAATGAAAAACAATGAGGCTTTAACCATCTTTAACCATCATTTCCGGTTCAGAAAAAATTCTGATCTCAGCATTTGTCACGTTTCCGCTGGGCCCACGACGCTATGGGCCGACCAGCAATCGAAGCCTGCATCGGAGTGCCATGGTCATCCATGGCATGGGAAGCCATGGCATGATGTTCAAATCCCTGTGGATTGATCACGGCCCCAATGGTTAATAGTGGTTAATGATGGTTAATAGTGGTTAAAGGATGGTTAAAGGATGGTTAAAGGATGGTGAAAGGGACATAGTTTTTTAACACAGCTGCTAATGGGATAATGATCCAACTACACTGGTTGGTGGTTGAAATAACCTACCCCTCTGAAAAATCATGGAGCGAGTTCGTCAGTTGGGATTATGAAATTCCCAACTGAATGGAAAAATAATCCATTCATGTTCCAAACCACCAACCAGCTATAGATTGATGATCCCCCAATATTCATTGCTTCATCTGATTCATCGGACGGCACCACTTCAGATTTTTGGATTCAAGCGTAGCGTGGCTGTGCCACATCAGCACATCTGAGACACCATGATTCACTGCCACCGTTCGTACGCGATTCTCTGAAAATAAGGGATACTCATAAATAACATGTTCATATTTATTGAGAACATTGAATTCCATAGAACATAGAGTCTATATGTTCATACTCATCATATTCCAATGGATACTGAAAATAGGGTACTCCCTTCATAGAGAAAATGATGAGAATCCATTGGAATTGGGGGTACCCTATTTTCAGACAAAACCATGATGTCGCGCCTACGAGGTCATACATCTTCTGCATGCCCTGCGTGGCACCAAGCGTAGCGGCGTAGTGGAAGGCCGGATACGAAGTACAGAATTTGACAGTTAATTGTTCCAAATAATAAGCCATATCTATTCATCTTAATAAAGGAAAATGAGAGAAACTTCGTGCCACGAATCTGAAAGTACATCTAAGTACTTGGCTACGAAGCACAGAATCTGAAATCGAAGCCTCCAGTAGGATGGTGCCGGGCACCGGCATTTCCAAGTAACCCACCAGCCAGGACATCACTCGCATGCCACACAAGTTGCCTTGGCCCGGCTGGGGGTATCAGACAGGTGTATTTATATAAATATTTATATTGATAGTTATATGTACATTTATATGTATTTCTATATCTATAGTCTATATATTGCATTTATATTTGTAATTGTCCGATTTTACAGCAGAGCCCCGCAGCCGCACCAGCAACCAAGCTCCCGCAAACATGCAGTGCTTCTTATACTTGAAGTTACTTGAAGTAAAAATCCCAATAACTTCGCTAGCATCTGTGAAATGGGAATATAAGCTGGGGTAATATAAGCTATTCAAACATATTAAACACTAATAACTCTCAATAGTTTTCCTATGGAGATAAACCTTATGGTTCGTCTCCGGTGAGGTCCCAAGTCTTTCACCAGCTGGGGGATGATCGTCGATCATCATTTCCCAATAAAAATATACCCCTTGGGGATACATATTGTGTATGTATGTATGTATGTATGTATGTATGTATGTATGTATGTATGTATGTATGTATGTATGTATGTATGTATGTATGTATGTATGTATGTAT